TTCACACCCAAAAATTACTGCTCATAACATTTCCATAAAGTGTAAGAAAAAAGCAAACAGTGTGATGTGCTGAGATCAGTGAATCAGCACTGTTTCCTGCCAGCGCACAGCAGTGGCTGTGCATACAGTGAGATTTGCTGGTGTAAACCAGCCCTTCAATGTAGAGATTTGTAGATTAGCCACTAGGGGTAGATTAGATTAGCTACATTAATGTCTCTGCCTAGCTGCTGCAAAGTACACAGTTATAGGAGATGAATAGGCCTGCCGTTACTGAACTCTCCTTTGAGAATGCTTGTTGTTCTGATGCTTTGACTTTAATTTTGTCTGAATCACTGACCTGGAACAAGTATAGAGATAAGCCGTTCTGACACTCATTTACAGCATGCCTGTTCCGGGACTGTGACTAAAACATACTGCAGTCAGCCACAGCCAAGCATCTAGTATTCTGAGAAGGAGACCTGTAATGGTAGCCCCCATACTTCTCCCAACAGACTCTTTTTAACACCTGTTAGGATAGCAACCACACAGGAAGTGCATTGTTCACAATAAGTTGCTTGACTTTCTTGGTGAGAAGCAAGAAAACACAATCTTTATGTAGGAAAAAATATTTTTAAAAAGTTTCAGATCCAGTGGAAATCTACTTGAAATTCAAATGTCGGGTCTCTTGGTTGTCTTAATAAAATACCTCTTCTTTTCTATGTACAATATAAAGTTTCTTAGTGAATGTCAGGAAGGTGATGTACATGTTAAGTGTCAGAAATGTAGTTTACACTAAATCTCTAAATTCACAAAGTCAACAAATAATTAAAATGTATGTATAGGCAAAACTTTTATTTTTTTATTTAATTTTGAATAGAGTAGGGAAGGTTTAGAACCACTGTCATGTTTTATTGCTGTCTTTGTCCCTGCTGGGTAGATTCACCCTCATTATTTGTTCTGGTGACCAATGGGAGTGAGAAGGTGATGGGAAATCCAGAATTTTTAGTTTCCACCAGAACAGGAAAAGAGGAAAAAAAACCTTCCAGTGGAGACGCACTTTGCAGCGACAACTGTCTAATTGGAATTCTCTTCACTTTAGAGAGGTCTCCACTTGCTTTCTGTTCCACGTACAGGACCGGAGGCCAAAGGAAATCTCATTGGGACACAGGCATTATAAATAAATAAACTGACAGGGATTTTAACCTTTCAAAATAAAAAAAAGGTGTTGGCTATACACAAGCCGAACATTTACTATACCGTTAGCGAGATCGGCTACCTCAAATTTCAGTTCTGCCTCACTTTAAAAAAAATGAGTGTCATTGTTAACCCATAAGTAAGCTTTTAATTCCCTTGTTTTATCTTTAGTAACAGAAAAGGTTATTACAGTGGGGAGTTCCCTTTGCTATAGAAACCAATACAGGTGAAACTCGAATAATTAGAATATCGTGCAAAAGTAATTGCAGTAAGTGCCTCAAAAGGGGCCCAAACCAAGTACTGAGTACATATGCATGCTTGTACTTTTCAGAGGTCCGATATTGTTCTATGTACAATCCTTGTTTTATTGATTGCATGTAATATTCTCATTTTCTGAGATTGTTGATTTGGGGTTCTTGGGGTTTTCATGAGCTGTAAGCCATAATCATCACAATTATGACAAATCACGGCTTGAATTATCTTGCTTTGCATGTAATGAGTCTATCTCATATATTAGTTTCACCTTTTAAGTTGCATTAGTGAAATAAATGAACTTTGCACGATATTCTAATCGAGTTTCACCTGTATATATTAGATCCCACCAGTTAATTCTATACACTGCGATCCACAATACATAGCCTTTAAATTGCATAAAATAGTTTCCCATCCACATACAATCTTGAAGTTATTTATAATATAAGGAAACAAGTGAATCATGAGCCTTTTTATTTGGTAAAATAAGCAGGCAATACTAGCTCCCTCACAAGTCACTCTTCCCAAACTCATTTCTACTGGGTAAATAAAAGCTTCAGTGTGAAATACCTTTTGTCATCTTTATGTCTTCATGTGTCTTTCTGTAGACACTTGTATTAGAAAATAACACTGCCCAAAGCAGAGTACACTAGGTTCAGCTTGAGAAGGAGGAGCTGTTGACCTTCCAGGACACATGGACAAATTGGATAATCTGAATAGATGGCTCTAATTTAATGAAGACATTTCAGGAATCACCTTCTCGGGTTCTACAAGGGTTAAAGATTAATGGCTTTAATTTGCTTACTATAGTATTTCTCTCATAAAGCGCTCCGAGTATAAAATGCTAGTGAACCGTGCCTGGAAGGTTAATGGATTTTCTTCAGATGAATTTTCTAAGTGTAGCAAATAATTATTTGTCATGGTAATAACTGAAATTTCAGAATTGCCTCAGGAGATTGCAGCAGTGCAAACAAGGTAGCAAAATGAGTATTGATTTGGCTTGGGTAAGATACATCGCCTGTATTTCTGTTACAAAAAGATGCTCATGCTGGGATACATGTTTAATGGCACAAATGCTATTGTCAAAATTCATTATTTTATCTAGCATGATGTCCTTCAACAAATTTTATTAGCAGGGCATTTTCCTATTTTTTTCAAACTGCTTGGTGAAACTTTAAGAGCAATCTACCAAACTCAACTTGTATGTAGTGTCCGGTAACTCTTTTGTTCCTGTATAACAGTATGGGATCTTGATATATCCATTGTACCTAGGGAATTTTTTTATAGTTGAACTCCAAGCAAACTGCTGAATACTTAGATGAAATGCATACTGTATAACAGAGCTCTTTTACCATGCAAAGGTTGCTTCTGTCCATCCAGTTTTGAGGTTTAGACAGACCTGTCTGGCAGGGCAGGAGTGCTGATTTTTCTCTGCTGCATAAAGTAGCACTTACAGATCTTGTCCTCCTTTCAACCTTTGTCTGGACAGTAAAAGAAGAAGCAGCAGACTGATGCGCTCATCTCTCTGTCACTCTGCTCTCCACTTCTATCAGCAATCTACTTGTTGCATCACAACTTACTGGCTCCTTGTGTTGCTTCTTCCTCTCCCAGCTGAGCTCTGCTGTACAGGGGATTGCAAGAGGTTGCTACAAGGATGAAATTGGGTACTTACACTGCTGGTATTTAAACAACACATTTGCTTATATATTATTGGATACAGAGTGGTATTAATGTTTCTTATATCTGCATGGAGCTTAGCTTTAAAAATAGGATTATTGTGAAGGAAGAACTGTAGATGAAGCGGTGTACAGGTGACTATATAACGTTTTTGGTTAGACATTTGTCTACAGTTCCTTCTTAATGGATAAAATAGTAAATCCAGGAGACTTTAAAAACATAAAAGAACAAGATGGGTAATAAATGCTACAGACCTATGTAAGAACGAATCTGTTATCACTGAATACTGACGTAAGCTACTATGACAAGGCAGCAGGTGTAACCGATGGAGTGATCGGGTAATAATTGCATTTGAAAGGGTTAGTCAATCTAGCAAGGCAGCAAATCTTCAGTAAAATAAATACAAGAGAGTGCGTCGTCTGCTTCTATGACGGTGCTCCCTCGCTGGCAAGCAGGATTTTGCAGTGTTTTTGCCAGTAAGGAGGCATGGATGAGCAACACCTTGCTGTTTAGGCCATCGAGGAAGCAATACTGTAGGAGCAAGAGAGTGGTGTCTTAACAATCCTGCTGCTGGTGAGTTTCCACCAGCAACCAGATCGCTAGTGTGACAGATTTGCTTTTCTATTGCACAGCTATGGGAGAATGCTAATTTACCAGGTTGCTGACAGCTTAAAAGCCTGTGTTAATGGGCAAATACAGCATGTTTTCAGGTCCAATTTACTTGAATTTGACATCAGTTTGGGACTCTTTGGAGATCATTTAGAATTCATTGACAGGTGCATTTAACCTCCTTCTGACCTACATTTGATCTATCTACTCATAACTGTAACATATAAGATATAGACATCTATCTATACATGAATTAGTAGCAAACCAGTAACAGTTGGGATCAGGAAGTTCAGAAATTTGACAAAAAGTCTAGGAGACCATTATGCATATGGACAATAGTCGGCAGCCATTTAGTAGAATCCCAGCTGGAACAGGCAACCGGAAGACATAAAGCAAAGTTTCCAATGGACAGTCATGCAGGACTTATATAAGCAAGTGGCTAATTAAATGATGTCACAATGCTGGATGTCTAACTTCTACTTCACTTTAAAATGAGAAAAGAACAAGGGATGCACTGATACTGGTATTGGTGCCGATACTGGGCATTTTCACTCATACTCATGAAAATGCCCCAATACTAAATGCTGACACCGGAGCTTTAAATTTTTAAACTGAGGCAGCTGCCTGAGGGTCCCGCACTTGCTGGGGACCTTGGCAGCCTTCCTGTGAACCATGCCGTGCCTGTTTACAGCACCGACCTGCACACTCCCCCCCCCCCTGGGAACTACACAGCGCTTCCACCGCCCACACGTGCCCTCATGAGACCGTCCACAGTCCTCATGAGACCCCCCACAGCCCTCAAGAGACCCTGGAGACAACAGGCTGGCACCCTGGAGCAGCACGGAGTATGTAGCTTCATATTATTCTGCATTACTGTATAATGTGTTGCTGGGATTTTTAGTCCTCTATAGCTGATGGTATTCTGCATTGCTGCATGATGTATTGCTGAGATTTGAGGTTCCTCTACAGCATGGAGTCAGTGGCTTAACTATCAGGGTCACAACGGTTGCAACTGCGACCAGGCCCTGGTGCTCCACTACTGCCCTTAAATTATTAGTTTGTATTTTAGAAAAACTGTCACAAGGCACAAAAAAAAAAAAAGGTATCGGTAATTGGTATCGGCAAGTACTTAAGGCAAAGTATTGGTACTCGTATTCAGTTTTTAAAAAATGGTATTGGTGCATCCCTTCCTATCGTCACTAAGTTTTAAAATGTTATTTTTATCTAAAGATCTTATTATTAGTGGTATATCTATGTATAATCACTTATGCTTATGTTACATCTTCCAGGCAATCCTGTTGAGTCGGGATGGACAGTACCTTCTCACAGGAGGGGATAGTGGAGTTGTCATGGTATGGCAAGTATGTGACCTGAAGCAACTTTTTGCCTACCCAGGCTGTGATGCTGGCATTCGATCAATGGCCATGTCCTACGACCAAAGGTAACATAGAATGTTTAATTGCTATGATTGGTCCATACTTAGAGAATGATGGCAAGCATACAAATTGTATTAAACAAAGGATTCTAAGGCTGCTGTCATTACCTGCCACAGTGATGGTGATTTTTGATGAGTATATCACATATTGATATACTGTTCATTGAGAAATATATATATATATATATATATATAATTTTACTACACTATGTAAATACATTTGTAATCCAGCACGTTATTATTCTGAGTTGCCCCACTCAAGCGGCGGCCATATTGAGTGGGGCACGTGAGATTAATAACGTGCTGGATTAGTGTTATCCTAGTTCATTTTATTACTTCATTGCTGTGCTGTATGTTTATAGGCCAATGTAGTTGGATCTGTATGTGCGTTATAATTAATAGAAATTAATCGATTTCAAAAACATTGCGATTATCGAACGCAAAAATTTTAATCATTACCAGCCCTAATATATATATGTGTGTGTATATAATATATATATATTCTCATTGAAACATTTGCTTTTGTTAATGTATTTACTATAATGAACTCTTGTCTCCTTTATATAGATATGTCTACCTTAAAATATGCCACAGATAATAAATGATACAACTATCATGTAAACTATGGTGTGGTCAAATAATTGTATTTACTGGAAAAGCAGGATATTTAACCTAATATGATTTTGCTATTGCTTATAATACCCGGTTATTATTTTTTTAATATGCTATGATATGATTTCTATGCTATGCTCTTTAAATACCTGATGTGATTTCTATCTGTTTTCAGGTGCATTATTACTGGCATGGCATCTGGAAGCATTGTACTATTCTACAATGACTTTAACCGCTGGCACCATGAATATCAGACAAGATACTAATAGCAAGCAAGATATTGAATTGATGCACTGATATGTCTCCCTTTCTGCAGGCTGTCACAGCCATCTGCCACTGCATAGGTCCTTATAAATGGCTCTATTACATCTGAATGTAATTTCAATGAAATTCAAATCTGCAAACTATTTTTAGAGTTAATTGCTATTTTTGTAGACCTTGCTTTTTTGTGGTGACGAGAAACAAGCAGATGCGTTAAGGCTGCTGGAGTTCTGTAGTAAAACAAATATATATATGAATATATATTTTTTAGTCCTAAGGAGAAGTTTATTTTCATCTGTGTATTCGGGAAACAAGTTTCCAGTGGCGACTGAATAATACTAGTTGGCTGTCTTGCCAGCCAGGTTAAACATTTTTCTGATCTTGATTTTAACTAAGTGGATGAGGGTTTTTTCAAGGGCATTTTAAACTGCTACCTTTCTTATATTTTTTGCCATTCTACAGTACTTTTCTCTTTTTTTCTAATGATTGTAATATCAAAGCACTGAGAAATTGTCAAGTGACTTGTAATAACTATAGTTTATAATAATTTAATGGAATTGATACATTATGAAGTAATTGTTGGTTTTGGATGCCCAAGCAGTTTTAGGAAAACTTTACACATTCTTCAGATAAAATTATTTAAATATTGTAAACAGGACAAATGATACTCTACATAAATTGCAGCACCGCCCATATAATAGAAGGGTCACTACCTTTATTCCTGGGGCTCCACTGCTCACAGAGTTCAGAGGGGTTTCTTTCGGTTGGGATAGTCAACATCTGCATGCTCCTGCGTATTTGGTTGACTTATGGCATAGACCCATGTGCTTTAGTACTGCTCGGGTCTGACATTTTGTTGGTTACCAGCCAATCAAATTGCATAGTAGGCGCATGTGTGGTTTACTCAGCCTATGTCTTTGCCCAGTTCATCATGGCTGATAGGTCGGAATGCCTTTGATGACCAGTTTAAATTTAACAAACCCAACTGCAACTCTTGGAGAAGCCCATGGAAAGCAAGTAGGGTACTCTCCTTTGGGGGGGACATATGCTACCATCTATCGTGCAGAGAATTCTGTAGTCTATTCATCATAGTTTAATATTTTGATCAGGATAACCTATTTAATGCTTCTAAGCCTCATTTATTTAAAAAAATATATATATTGTGCAATTAAAGTGGTGGTGTTACTTATAGTGACCAGTCAGCATCCTCTTATTTTTGCCGATGGGTAAGAATACTTAACAAAGTGGCTTCTTGTGGTGACACCACTAGTTTTGCATTGCTCCAGTTTTTTCAGTTCTCCCTCAAACTAATCCTATGGCGTATAATTAAAAGGGAAAATTTGAAACATGGAGACTACCATTATAAACCTTCTCTTCTGAAAATGCTAGTTGCCTGACCTAGAACAAGAGGCATACTTGTTACAGCATGGATCTAAGGGGTCACCATAACAGCCACGCAACTAGCAGGTCTCCTGACAGGTAAACATTAACAACCTGGAGCAAGTACATAATACAGTCTCTGCATTTTAGATTTGGTAAGTTCATAAAAGTTTCCCACAGAAAGGCAGTCATTTTCATTTCTGGTTTATGGCCTTTTTGTACACTTGACACTGTGTAGTGAGCTCAATCCAAGAAGTCAGTGGAGCTGATGTTACATCACTTGTAGAGGTATTTCTTTACATTTGTGTTTATGAGGATATATAGCAGTACCTAAAAGGCATCCTAAAATGTGCAACAGAAGACCTGTGTTTTTCTTCTGTTATAGAGTGTATATCTAAAGACCACAGTCATAGTCTGTTCTGTTGTCTAAAATTTCTAGATCAGTTAAACTCGGTTACTATTCTTGCTAGTTCTAGAACCAAATAATGTTTTTAAAATAGTTTGTAAAACCTGTTTGGCATAATACACCTACACAGGTCTAAAGTAATAATGTAAACTAAAAAAAAAATGTTACCTAGTCTTACTTTTCTACAAGATTGCCGTGGATAATTATGTGAAACTATATTTGTGATGGGAAAAAAAACTGTATTGTTTCATAAGTCTGTATTGCATAAAGACTTGTTTGTAATTTGTGATCTGTCTGTGGGCTTCACCCACTTTCCTATGTTTCCGGACGCAGGATTTGTCTCCTGACTTACTGGTACAGCTCACCTTTTTGTATTCATTCAGTGACAATCTTTCATTAGTTCAAGTGTGGGATGAAGTAAGTTTGAATGGAAAAAATAAAATATAATTTGTAATGCAAAATCTGAATTTTATGCATTTTGTTTTCATTTCTACTTAAGTGGTACCACTATTCAAAGGTTGTCGTAAAAGAAGAACTTGCTGGAGTTTTAATATAATTGTATTGCTAATAATCATGGAAGCTTTATAAAATACCTGCTCTTTGCAGAGAAACCCTGGCAAAACACAACTTCTAGTTGTAAAATGGCCATAGAAGTGGCTATTCGTATCTGCTATCTATGCAGTGTTGCAAGGACAGGCCGTGTTCTTCACAAGATTTAGACCTGCAATATGTCTCGCATGTAGTCTGTAGCACCAGTGTTCCTATGTGCATTGTCGGTAAAACCAGATATTGCAGATTGTCGATATCACTTTATCTTACAAGGGACCCACCCAGTGGCTGTGATTGCAGATCAGTGCAAGTACTAGGAAGTTTTTAAATTATTATTAGAGGTATTTCTAAAGCTCACTAATTAAATTTGTAAATATGAACACAGAGCTACCATGCAAACCTCTTTGCATTGCCAATCCAGGGGTGGAGACTGGCTACATCCTTCCACCAACTTCTGCTGCAATGTGTGTGTATATGCCACAGTGAATATTGCCAGGCCTATCTCCTTGCATTGGGCAGAAGACGGGCAACACCACATTCCACTATGGTTGCTGTAAGCATATTACTTTAGGGCATGCTGGCTTAATCCTAGAGGAGGTAGACACTACCCACCCAGGGCAGTGCTAATAAGGAAGAGCAGGCAACTGAGATTTTATAAAGAAATGGGACAGGAGTATAATGGCTGTCTCTATAATGAAAGCATTCATTGCTAATAGTCAATAGTTGTCCTGCCAAGCAGACGTAATCAAAAAGTTAACCCTAATGGTTATTTTCCTTTTAGCGGCAGTCTTTTTTCAAATTTGTAATCATTGTCATTTGGTTCAGTAGGGCTTGCTATTTTTTTAAATTACTTAAAGTAATTAAAAACCTCGACCTCCAACCTCAACACAGCCACATGCATTCAGCACTCCCTAACCACTTCACCCCTGCTAGCATGCAGCTCTCCCTACCCATCTCAACTGACATTCAGCTCTCCCTACCCACTTCACCTCTGCTGACATACAGCCCATCTTAAACCCACTGACATACATTATTTCACCCACCTCTGACATACAACCCACCCCAGCCACATCACCCCCACTCACAGTGGTTGCAGAGGGAGCAGGTGGAGGAAATAATGCTGACCACAGCACTGCTGAATTTCTCACTGCTCTCCAGGACCGAAAAGAAGGGCTTGAGCCAAACCAAGAGAGAGAGATGGGAATTGCAGTGTGGTGGAAGGAAAGCATATCTGAAGCCATGCATCTGCCTGTTTTACATTGTGAAAGCTGCTGTCTCCTGGTGCAATTCACTAGGTAATGCTCAATGCTCCAGCCATTTCTTAACAGAAGTGCAGCAGGACATGGAAGTGTCTGCTGCAAAGGCATTATGATTTTACAGCCACTGCTGGCCTACCTTCTAACTTTCCATCAGTTACCAGCCTCTAGAACAGAGGTCTCAAACTCAATTTAGTCAGGGGCCACTGGACACATTTTCTAGTCCCGTGGGGGCCGCTACTATATACGGTACCAGTGTTGCAAAACAATACCGGCGCCTTCAAATCCAAAAGAGCCCAGCAGTAAAAATACAGCAAACACGATGAAGGCAGCTCCCACAGATTAGATGGACCACCAGTCTATGATAAAAGGAACAAAAGAGAGCGCCTCCATAGTGTAAAAATGTTATTTAATAGTAAAAACACGCAGCTCTAAGGCTGTACTTACATCAGTTCGGTAGAATAAAAACCAGTAGAATAAGGTGAGAGGACGGAACCCCTGGCAGGGAGAATCTGGAGCGATGTAAAACACCAGTAACCTCAATCCCTGTGTTGGTAAACGGTAAACTCGTTTCTGGGGCACGCCCCCTTCATCAGAACCAATGAATCATTGGTTCTGATGAAGGGGGCTTGCCCCAGAAACACGTAAACCAATGAATCATTGGTTCTGATTAAGGGGGCGTGCCCCAGAAACGCGTAAACCGTTTACAACCACAGGGATCGAGGTTAATGGTGTTTTACATCTGTACCAGTGTTAATGTATGCACATGTTACAAGCGGCAACTGTCACCCATTCAAATGAATGATCGGGTGACAGCTGCTGCATGTAAACGCCTGCACACCGCATGTAATCATATGTGAAAGGATTACATGTAGTTAGGAATCTGTCACTATCCCTGGATACACAATTGTGTATCCAGGGATAGTGATTGTTTTTGTAACTGCATGTAATCATATTACATGCGGTATGCAGGCGTTTACATTCAGTAGCTGTCACCCGATCATTAATTTGAATGGGTGACAGTTGCTGCATGTAAACACCAGATTAGGGATTCCTGCTGCAGGAAAACGCAAGTTTGTGACAGGAATCCCTAATCGTACCTGAAATATAGCGGCCCAATATACACACAGAAAAATACAACCCCTCCACACTAAATACACCCCCCTGCACAAATAAAATACACTTCACCCCCTCTTCCAAGCCCCCCGCACACATTTAATACACTGCTCCCCCCACACACACATAATACACTTCACAAGCACACATAATATACTCCCCCTCCCTCCAAAGCCCACCAGCACACAACATAAACTTCCCCCCTCCCAAGCCCCCAGCACACATATTAATAAAGCTCCTCTCCCTCCTTTTTCTTCCAAGCCCCCTCACCTGCTTTCATCCGTGCAGGGAGGAGACACATCATATCGTCATGCCCTAGTGATCTAGCGGTGATCATTAGTAAGGTCTGCACTAGACCTTACTAATGATCCATCATTCGGCCGTAGCTCAGAACTGACAGAGCTCCGGCCGGTGCCGACAGGAGCAGCTCTGCGGTCTGCATCCGTCGGAGATGCAGACAGTGTAGCTTCTCCCGCAAGTCAGGCACGTGGTCCACTTAGTACCAGCTCGCAGGCCAGTACTTTGAGACCACTGCTTTGGAACAACAGGGATTAATACAAATCATTGCCTGTCTGTCCCATTACCAAACCATAATTTAGGCAAATGAACACTTGCCAGGTGGGCTTTTTTACATTGTGTAAGATTGTAGGGAATGTTAGCACGTATGGTGAGTGCCAAGAGACCACTCTTGAAGCCATTTAGCATAAAAAGGATAGTCTTTTTATTCATACACAGGCCGTCCATAAGGGTACTTCACATAGAAAGATGCGTCTCTTCAGCACAAAGAAACTTAAAGTTCATTTGACTTCCATCAAAATTATATATATTTGTGTCTCAAGGTTGTCTAGTACACTCCCAGTATCCCAGTCCCAGGAGTTTATTGTATTCCTCCTCGGCAATAGTCCCAAGTATCGCTCAGTAGTTTTCAGTGGCTCACCACACACCTGTGTGACTCTGGCA